AATCCATTCCTTTTATTTCCTTACTTCCTTCTGAAATTTTTGGGTATGTTTATTTTGTCCATGACTATAGATTGTCTAGGAGCAACTTGATCCCAGGGCTTTGAAATGCGCCTTTGGTGGTTATTCTGCCATACAAAGGAATATAAATACTATCATCCACAGTCTCAAAAAATGTATATTCACATGGATATTATCTTTCTTGTATTTGAGTCTTTTTTCTCTACTAAATCATNAATGTATATTCACATGGATATTATCTTTCTTGTATTTGAGTCTTTTTTCTCTACTCAATCATCTTTTCAAGGGGAGAATACCGCTTTATGGGAAGAGAAGTTTTGTTAGTCGTCTCTTGTTTAATTGCTTGTTCAGTAGAATGTTAGTGAGGGAGAGCAGTAGGCCTTAGGGGAAAAAAGCGATATCAGTGGTTCACCTGGTGTTTACCTTAACAAGGACAATTTGAAGATTTGTTCTCGGCGTCAAAAGATACAGATTACCCATGTGCCACTGAATCAGTTGAATTCCTCAATTCTAGTTTCATCCTCCGCTGATTTATCATGTAATGAACCTCCAAATATTATTCCTGCTATGAATAGTCCAATTTTTTATGACTCTAAGCTTCCTATTTTAGTCAAAAAAAAGTGTTCGAGCATGTACTTAACATCCCATCTCTAACTGTCTCTTATAATTCCTTGTCTCCATCTCATATTGCTTTTGTTTTCTCCCAGTCTTTTGTGTTGTTCTTTTGGGTTAGAAAAGGCTCTCACCGATTCTAAGTGGAGAGAAATTAGGGTAGAGGAATTGAAAGCCTTGAAAAAGAATAACACATAAGAGTTAGTTACTATTCCTCTTGGAGCAAGGCAGTAGAGTGCAAATGGGTGTTCACTGTCAAACAAAAAGTTAATGGGACAGTCGACAAATACAAGGCCAGACTGGTTCCTAAATGATTCACTCAGACATATGGTATTGATTATCTTTTACTCTTGTGACAAATATGAACTTTATATGTGCTCTTATCTCCTGTGCAACTAATTTGGGGTGGAGTTTGCAATAGTTGGATGTGAAGAATATCTTTCATCAAGGAGATCTGGAGGAGGTGTACATGGAGATTTCTCCAGGTTTTTCATCTCAAATAGCTGAAGAGAAGTTGTGCAAGTTAAAGTAGTCTTTTTATGAGTTGAAGTAGTCTCCCAAATCTTGGTTTGATATGTTTCTTAAAGTTATGCTAAAACTTAGATATAAATAGAATCATGCAAATCATACCATGTTCATCAGACCTTTATAAATCTCCCATTGATGTCAACCATCGACTGAGAAATGGTATTAGTGAGGTAGTAGAAAATGAGACATACCAGAGGCTAGTGGGGAGATTAATATATCTCTCATATACTCGGTCAGAAATTATAAATGTAGTGGGGGTTGTTAATCAATTCATGCATGATCCTTGAACTCCTCATCTTGGAGCGGTTTATGGCATAGAGGTATCTTAAGTTGGCTCTAGGAAAGGGATCATGTGTTCTCTAATAATAGTTATTTGAAATTGGAAACATTGAATGACGTAGGCTCAATGGATGATAGACGATGTACTTTAGACTATTGCACATTGATTGGAGGAAATCTTGTCACATGACGAAGCAAAAAGCAAGCAATAATGGCTAGGTCTAGTGGGAAGACTGAATATAGAGCAATAGCTCATGAAGTCTCTAAGCTTATGTGGCTCCAAACATTACTAGGAGAGTTGGAGATTTATGATGATAGACCTAAGAGACTATTGTGACAAAAAAATTACTATCAACATTGTTCATAATCCAGTTCAACATTGCAAAGCTAAACATGTTGAAATTGACCAGCAATTTATTAAAGAGAAGTGAAACAAAGGTTTGATTTGCATGCCTTATGTGAAGTTCAAAAGTTAGTTGACCGATATTTTCACAAAAATGGCTTGGTAGAAAAGTTCACCCTATTGTTTGCAAGTTGGGCATGAAGATGTCTATGCACCAAATTACGGGGGAGTATTACGTTATGGGTTATTTTCGGAATAAGGGTATAAGAGAATGGAAGATTCGATGTATATCTTCCCTCACGATTATACATGTGAGATTATAAGACACAAGCTAGAGGAAGGTTGAATAGGTTTATTAAAAATTTTCATTTGAACAATCACCAATTTAAAACCTTGATCACCACAATTACCGGTTAACAAATTAATTCGGCAATTAAGATCGTGAACTTCTATTTAACAACCCCAACACCTCGTCATGCAAATTGATGCAAAGATATGCCAATTGATTAGTTTACACTCAAATTCTAATCCTATAACCAAAGCCAATTATTCTAAAAACCCTTTTTGATGAATAAAAAAATAAAAGATCATTCAACCAAACGCATAGTGCACGTACGACACAAACAATTTGTTTATGGGGAAACCCAACATGAGAAAACTGCGGAACCACCATCTGGTTCACCTAGTCTAATCCACTAACTCAAAATCAACTTGAGTCTTATACCTCAACCAATATTATGGTTAGATGCTCATTTCCTTTGCAAATCTCTTCTCTAGATATCACCTACCGAAGTTATGAGTAGTTTCACTTGAACACGTCCACCGTGATGGACCGTTTAGGCTCTTCAGGCGATCTTCTATCCTAAGATCCTTGGAACGCATACTTTTCCGAAGTGGGTTTTGAAGAACTCCAAGCTAGATCTCCATCTTTAATGTGTGATGTTGAATATAAGGTACAAGATGGATGGTCTTTGGGGATTTAGGGATCTAGGGTTTGTTCTAAGCTCTCTAGATGGTTAAAAGACTTAAAATAAGTTTACCAAAGGCTTCACCCAGCTCAAGAAGGATTACTCTTTATATAGGTCCATAATAGGGTTTGTCTTTGGAACCAAATAAACACAAATTTGCAAACCACCGCTCGAGCCATCAAAGAGTGGTCAGAGGACAGTTGTCACTGAAATGAAATCAGTGTTCAAACTAAATTTGGCAAGCAGGGATCGCTTGAGCCGTCTCATGACCGCTCGAGCGGCCTAAGAGCGACCTCTACTGTCCAACTCGGCAGTCTTTCTAGATTTTATCTCTTAGTGTTCAGATATTGCTCTAACCGAAGGCAAGCAAGTAAAGGTTATTGCTCAAATAGTGTCCGATAAATGACTCAATCTATATTTTCAAAACATATTTAAGGTTTAAAAAATCTTTTTTATAAATATTCGAAGAGTTATTCGCAATTATTCCTAATTCCAATCCCGCTAACCTAATCATCGCAAGTCTATAAATAACATGGGTCTTTAGGTCATTACCTTTGCCCTAAGTATTGAAGGTGCATCGGAGATCTTCTTGATTTGACTTCGTAGTTTGAACTCTGTCCTTTCATGTTTCTTTTGGAGCTTGATCTTTAANATCTTTAATGTGTGATGTTGAATATAAGGTACAAGATGGATGGTCTTTGGGGATTTAGGGATCTAGGGTTTGTTCTAAGCTCTCTAGATGGTTAAAAGACTTAAAATAAGTTTACCAAAGGCTTCACCCAGCTCAAGAAGGATTACTCTTTATATAGGTCCATAATAGGGTTTGTCTTTGGAACCAAATAAACACAAATTTGCAAACCACCGCTCGAGCCATCAAAGAGTGGTCAGAGGACAGTTGTCACTGAAATGAAATCAGTGTTCAAACTAAATTTGGCAAGCAGGGATCGCTTGAGCCGTCTCATGACCGCTCGAGCGGCCTAAGAGCGACCTCTACTGTCCAACTCGGCAGTCTTTCTAGATTTTATCTCTTAGTGTTCAGATATTGCTCTAACCGAAGGCAAGCAAGTAAAGGTTATTGCTCAAATAGTGTCCGATAAATGACTCAATCTATATTTTCAAAACATATTTAAGGTTTAAAAAATCTTTTTTATAAATATTCGAAGAGTTATTCGCAATTATTCCTAATTCCAATCCCGCTAACCTAATCATCGCAAGTCTATAAATAACATGGGTCTTTAGGTCATTACCTTTGCCCTAAGTATTGAAGGTGCATCGGAGATCTTCTTGATTTGACTTCGTAGTTTGAACTCTGTCCTTTCATGTTTCTTTTGGAGCTTGATCTTTAAAGCCTCTTTACCATGGAATTAGGTTCAGATTTACATCAAAACTTCACGACATTAGCCAACTACAATAAAATTCGTAACGGGGTATTTTAGTACTTTGTGTCTATATATATATATATATATATATATAAACAGGGTGTATTTGTATAACCTAACACCTATTTTGGCAATCCTCTCTCTTTCTCCTATTTTTCTCTCTCTCAAAACCCTAACAACTTTACAACTTAACTAGCTTATATTTTTTGCTTATAACTTGGTCTTGCAAGGGAAAACCATATGCATCCCATTGATTTCAATATTATGGTTGTGATATTTGGTGCATGTCGCACTTGTGTTGCAATTAAGATGGCAATGATGTGGCCATGTACCCCGAGTCGTAATTTGAGTGGAAGGTTGACTTCAATAATCAAGTATTACCTTGCCATCTTAATTGCAAGGTAATACTATGTGGTATTATCAGCAGACAAAAAGAAATGGTAGGTGAGAGTAGTCATTCTACTAGCGCTAACATCTATTCTCGTAGGGTTCTACCTTCTGTCTTAATTTGTTCGAATTAGATCTTGTCTAGGTTGATGAATCTCGGATGTCAAGAGCTTATTTTATTAGAATTCGAGTTTCAACCACTAAGTGGTTATTCAAGCTTTATAGTGTTGAAGTTTACTATGAGTGAAAACATAGGTTGCACAAAAATGTATTTCATTTATCTCGAGTCTTTTGGCAAATGGCCTCCGTATACTTCCCTCTCATTCTTAGTATCCTATACTTGCTGCTTATCAGATGGGTAATAGTCCTGTAAAAATGGTAATATCATGAAACATGGTTATCTCAAAAGGTGGTAATAATTACTAGGACTCATACTGGCATCTCTTAAAATTGGTACGAGGTGTCTGACTATACTGGTCTGAAACAATGAATGGTGCCTTGGTGCAGACAACAGACACGGGGACTTGGATGCTGACAGTTATTACTGTCCTGGCTTTGTGTTCAGAAGCTTTATAGCACTGTTACCTTGTTTTTCTCCTTTGGTCTGAAATATAAGCATAATAACTGTAGGAATACGTGGATCATTCTTCTGCATTGTTCAAATTCTATGTCTTGGGGGAAAAGGTTTTCTATGCAATTAAGAAGTCTACCCCTAATACGGATACATTGATAAAACTATCTGAAGAAAATGGACTCAAGCCTCTTCATTTTGACAGGTACCACATGTTTCCTATTTCCTTTCTTTTCTTCTATGTATACTTTTTTTTTTCCATTTCAAGCTATAGAACAATATGGTTACTCTTTGCAGCTTAAAATCTCTACCTACCTCTAAAACAAACCAGCATTCTAGAGATGAGGATCATCACAATGTCAGTGATCAGTGCATAGATCTTCAGCTAGTGACCGATGCCGCAAATTGGCTTAGGAGGATGCTTGACCTTACTGTGTTCGGGTTTGATGTTGTTGTGAGTGCCCAATTTAAACAATCATTTACAGCTGTTTGCAATTTGGCACTACAAATCTGCAGAAGGGCTGACTGAGGTTTTCCAAACTTTAGAGCCTGTTCGTTGTCATCTTGTTTTCTGTTATATGATTAGATAAACAACGACACATTAACAAAATATGAAAAAAAACATTTGATGTTTTCCGTTTTTACATTTTGCATGTATTTTAAAGATAAGTAAACACAATTTGTTTGTTTTTTAATCAAAAAACACCAAGTATATATAGATACCAAAAGTATCCATGCTAAAAACACACACAATGCATACATGATATAATGATAATAAAACACTCCAAAACACACACCACACATACCAGAGAGCACACACATGAATATCCTCTGCGTGCGTATGTGCGCTTATTTTATGCAGTTGAAATGATATGTTTATGCTTTAAAAGCGTACGGCTTCGATTTCTACTTTTGTATAACATTAATGATCTCTTACCTTTTTTCTTTATGTTATTTTGTACAGATACAGGAAGGCACTGGTGACCATGTCATTGTAGATTTAAACTACCTTCCATCATTCAAGGAAGTGCCTGATGACGTTGCAATACCGGCCTTCTGGGAAGCAATAAAAAGGAAGTTTGAGTTCAGGAAGACTAAATAAGCTGCAATAGCTCTTTTTGAGTGATCAATTTGCTGGTGCCGACTCTGCTGATGGAAAGAGTAAAGAAAAAGAATGTCAATTCTGCATTTTCTTGTCTGGTGCTGAAAGCAGGGTTGTCTTGCAACTGACATTTTTGGCACTTCAAAATGTAATTATGTGCAAGTTTTCATTCTTGTCTCTCATTTTAAAAGCAAGCATGCATTTTCTTGTTCCCAACTTCGGATCTCTTCACACTTGCAGTATACAATCCTGATTAAGTTGCACTTTTTGAAAAATTCGTGTGGTTGTATCCTCACCTGCTTCTACCTTCTCATAGGGCATTGTTCTTCTCCTTTTTACTTATTATACTTTTGTCAACATGAATTGTTTTTGAGGATGGTTACTTCTGAATTTATAGTTGCCAGATGTCGTAGTGATGTAGGTGCAGCATTGTTTTACTCTTAACAAAATTAGGTTTGAAGAAACACGATGGTGTTATTATCCATGTACATAAGCTAACCGAAATCACCCTATAAACTTGGTGCCACAGGCAATGAAAAGGAATCCATGTTGAAACTGCTTTACTTTACCCAGGGCAGAGCCAGGAAATACCTAATGGGGGTAAAATATAACTAAAAATAATTCACCAATTGATACAAAAAAATTAAGTTCAAGGATGACAAAAAATTATGACTCAANTAAATCTGCAGAAGGGCTGACTGAGGTTTTCCAAAATTTAGAGCCTGTTTGTTGTCATTTTGTTTTCTGTTATATGTTAGATAAACAACGACACATTAACAAAATATGAAAAAAAACATTTGATGTTTTCCGTTTTTACATTTTGCATGTATTTTAAAGATAAGTAAACACAATTTGTTTGTTTTTTAATCAAAAAACACCAAGTATATATAGATACCAAAAGTATCCATGCTAAAAACACACACAATGCATACATGATATAATGATAATAAAACACTCCAAAACACACACCACACATACCAGAGAGCACACACATGAATATCCTCTGCGTGCGTATGTGCGCTTATTTTATGCAGTTGAAATGATATGTTTATGCTTTAAAAGCGTACGGCTTCGATTTCTACTTTTGTATAACATTAATGATCTCTTACCTTTTTTCTTTATGTTATTTTGTACAGATACAGGAAGGCACTGGTGACCATGTCATTGTAGATTTAAACTACCTTCCATCATTCAAGGAAGTGCCTGATGACGTTGCAATACCGGCCTTCTGGGAAGCAATAAAAAGGAAGTTTGAGTTCAGGAAGACTAAATAAGCTGCAATAGCTCTTTTTGAGTGATCAATTTGCTGGTGCCGACTCTGCTGATGGAAAGAGTAAAGAAAAAGAATGTCAATTCTGCATTTTCTTGTCTGGTGCTGAAAGCAGGGTTGTCTTGCAACTGACATTTTTGGCACTTCAAAATGTAATTATGTGCAAGTTTTCATTCTTGTCTCTCATTTTAAAAGCAAGCATGCATTTTCTTGTTCCCAACTTCGGATCTCTTCACACTTGCAGTATACAATCCTGATTAAGTTGCACTTTTTGAAAAATTCGTGTGGTTGTATCCTCACCTGCTTCTACCTTCTCATAGGGCATTGTTCTTCTCCTTTTTACTTATTATACTTTTGTCAACATGAATTGTTTTTGAGGATGGTTACTTCTGAATTTATAGTTGCCAGATGTCGTAGTGATGTAGGTGCAGCATTGTTTTACTCTTAACAAAATTAGGTTTGAAGAAACACGATGGTGTTATTATCCATGTACATAAGCTAACCGAAATCACCCTATAAACTTGGTGCCACAGGCAATGAAAAGGAATCCATGTTGAAACTGCTTTACTTTACCCAGGGCAGAGCCAGGAAATATCTAATGGGGGTAAAATATAACTAAAAATAATTCACCAATTGATACAAAAAAATTAAGTTCAAGGATGACAAAAAATTATGACTCAACAAAATTGTGATGAAATAGTAAATTCAATTTTTATTTAGCCGAAAGAAAATTTGAATAAAAAGACCTAATAAATTTTTTAGCACATTTTAACCAAATTATATATTTTAATAAAATATAATTTTTTAAAAATTTCTAAAATTTTGTAAGTTAATTAAAATTTTGATGAAATGGATTATTTGATATATTATGTGTTTACATTGTATACACCCTATAAGTTTGATAAACTGTTTAAGTGAATCAAGCATGTTAATTAAACTAATCAATGTATTTAACATGTGTTGGGTGATATGGGAGTATGTTGTTATGTGCTTTCATGATATAACTATTATGATGAAGTTTATGTGACTTTGTTGTGGGTATGCAATGTGTTTACATTTTATGCCTCTTAAGTGTTTGATAAAATGCCTAAATGAATCAAGCATGTTAATTGAGCTAGCCAATGTATTTTAACATGTGTTGGGTGCTATGGTAGAACGTTATACGTTTTCATGATATAATTAACATTATGATGAAACTTATGTGGTTAAGTGTTTTGATAAAATGTTTAGGTAAGTTTAAGTATATTATTGGATTATTATCACATATGACATGCTTGAGAATGTTTGTGGACATGAACATGTTTATTACAAACTTTATGATATAATAAGTATGATGATATGAATTATAATTGTACAATACATTTGCATATTGACGGATAGCATTGTATTNAATGTTTATTACATACTTTATGATATAATAAGTATGATGATATGAATTATAATTGTACAATACATTTGCATATTGACGGATAACATTGTATTCCTGGACATTCAAAATGAGTGTGGGTGTATGTACATGTTTTTAAACAAACAATCATTCTTGCTAGTTTGATACGGGAGTTCGAGAAAGTTGGACTTAGGTCTACTTGAGTCACACAGATTTGTAGTGAAAAGAGTGTCAGAGTTAACAAGAAAGGTTGGATTCTCTCTCTAGTGTATGACCTGACAACTTGGATTCGCACTTCCGTTGGTATTGAGTCTATAAAGTGTATCGATATATGCGGAATCGTTGGTAGAAGTTCATAAATTTCGTGTTAATTGATTGACCATTGGTGGAAGTTCATAAAATACATATCCCAAAAAGACACAGATTTTTATAAAATTATTATTGGATGTCTAACATCAATGGCGGATGCTTGGAATGTCCGAATTTATACGCATGACATTGCATGTGTTGTGGGGGCCTGGGATGGGGCTCGGTATTGGCATTGCATGCATGAGTTATCACTTCATGGTATGACACGGTGTGTAGCATTATTCACGTTGTACATATGTGATTGAATGTTTGAAAATGATTATGATTGTGGGACATTTTATATGCATATGGGTTGGAAGGTGATTTCCATAGGAGATATCCTATTGAGTGTTGATTCACCTTTTATGAGAACAATTTTATATATGATGGTTATGGATTAGTATTCAATGCTATGTGATTGAATATTGATGAATAGACTCGATGTGTTCAATATTGTATAAATACACTGCTTGTGTATTGGATAGAGTTCCTCGTAAAAAGGAGACTCTACCCAGATTTTGTTAAATTATGGATCCCCCAGTAATTGGGGCATAACGGCGTAGTATCGTATTCACGGGTATTTCTCGGATTAAACGGAACGCCCTGGGAATGGGGGCATCACACGGGTATTCAACGAAGGTAAGAATTGCTTAAATGGATTATCCTTAATTATAATTTCCAAGTCATATTGGTTTCATTACTTGAAGGTTGGAACATATAAAGCCCTAATATTTTGCATATGTAAATAAAGGAATTGCTCTCAATTCAGACCTAGCCTGACAATTTTTGAAAGAAATATTAATAGAAAACCAACACATGTTTTGTTGAACAGAAATATCAATAGATGTTGCTGATTACTTTGTGTGTTTGCCAAAATGAGTTATTAAATTTATGGTGTCAAAAAATACCTTAGAAATTATTGAAACTGACTTGGATATTCCCTGCTAAAGAGCTTGGATGAAAAATGCTATTGGCATGCAGTCATTTTGTGTCATGTGTAGATACATTTTTGAATAGATAAAAATAATCAAGTTAATAATCCATGAATTTTGGTACATAGTGACGCTCAATTTCTAGACAAGTGAATTGAACTCATGCAAAAAAAGAAAAGCATTTGTTGCAGTCTTGCAACATTAAAGATCAGGATACCTTAGATGTGCTAACAGGGTCATTCAAACCTAGAAGACATTGTTCTTTGAATAAAATGTTGATGAGTAAATAATATTGCATGATTTTTTATTCAAACCAACCATCTTAGCTTTGCTTGTTAGTTATATGTTTCGTTTTAGTTGAGTTTATGTTTTATTAGTAAATTATATATTAGTAGATAATCAAGAGTAAGTAAGGATTATTTACAATCATTTGGGTGCTATGAAAAGCTTTGGAGATGATGGACTTGAGTAGGAGCATTACAACAAAAACGCAGAAAAAGTGAAGTTCTACTAATAGGTTGAAACCTGCTTCCTTCCGGTAGATCAAAACAAAAGTTTGCTATCGGTAGGTCATTTATCACCTACCGATAGATTAAAACATCATTCATCGCCTGAACTATTTGTCGCCTAGAGCTGGGTGATGGAATGGAATTTAATTGATTTAGGGAAAAATTGTCCAAAAAAGAGGATTTGCTTTTTCTTTTTTTTTTTTTAAAAAATATGAATTGAAATCCAACCGTTCGGTTTTATCTAAAAACCAACCAGTTTAGCGGTTCCCTTGCTGTTCAATTGCATATAAGATCCAGTTCACGGTTCAACCGGTGTTGATCCAATTCAATTCTGATAACACTAATTGTAACCATTGTTCCCTTACTAAATTTTCTTATTTAAAATAATTATGTTTCTAACAATTTATATCTATCTATACTACTAATAAATGTACCTTAAGATGAAAAATTTTTGAATCTCTATTTTACCCATATGTAGGAATGTAAATATCTAAATTACTATCATATACATATGTATTTAAATCTCTAAATTATTTATAACTTCTTTTTTTAAT